GAATCATACTTAGTCTAAGGCAATGGGCACAGCCTATTATACGTTGAACTTTTAAAGTACAAAAATGGTTAAAAGTTCATGTTCTATTGTAGATGAGTTTATTTGTTCTGGGAAAAATAGATTGACAGTATAGCATAGAATAATGGACTGGCAGTATCTAAATGTAGTTTGCGAATACTAGTGGATATTGTTTAGAATGAAATAGATTGTTATACTGCTGTCTAATCTGATAATAAGAAACAAGATATGATATTAACAATTTTGGGCTAACTAACACGGCACAAATATAGTGTTCATTTGTAATATATGTGTTAGACAATATTGTAGTAACAAACTCAGGTTTAACATGCTGTAACAGCATGTTAAACCGTATTTGTAAACTTTTTAAATTCATATCCTACTGAAATGAGCAGCTAGAACAACAATATTATTACACTCCACTACATACAATTATCATATGAATGCCGACAGTGAAAGTTTAAAACAAAGGACTGATGAGTGGCCTACTTATTTGTTTGTCCCTCATTATCTCCTAAACAGCATGACATATTACCAAAGCATTTGGAAGTAATATGAGCTAAGCTTGTTTAGACATCTTAAGCCGTCGTAAATATAAAGATTACATACATAAACATGAAATCATCGCGCGTTCGTGTCAATTGAGCAGAAAAAATAATTATTTTTACATGAACATAAAAAATACACTTTTATGTTCATGAAAAAACATTACTTGCTGGATAACGACTGAGGATAATGTAGTGAACATTTGAAATGAACACGGAGGGTCTGCATCGACATATCATTACTTAAACGTCTGTTACATGACTAACTAACACAATAACATTAATTTCATAGCAAGTTTCGTTTTTAACGGTAAAAAATCGAGGTGTCGGGGAAATCGAAGCTTTATTTACGTGAGAACTTAACAGCTGTGGCAGACGAGGCACCGGTTAGCCGCCGGTCCGTTCGACAGCCACGCCACTGAAAACCCTATATAGTCAAATAGGTTACAACACAGACGAAATTTTTCAACTCACTTATACTAAGCAAAATAAAATAATGTACGCTTAAAAAATTATACACTTACGTGATAACACTGATATCATCCAACAACAAGCGTCATAGCGATCCAAAAACTTGTATCACTGCATAAATAATCACAATTCAACAAGGAACATTTTGTACCATCAAACGTAAAATTACACAAACTACTTTTAAAACATTAATAACTCATAATATATTGCACAAAAACTTCTTCCAAGCACATACACAAAACAATGATAATATTTATAGTGCTATTATCACAAATATAAACGAAATATCACAAACGGATATCACTTTTCTACTTGTCCTTGCGTTCACATAAATTGGCAGCCATCTTGCGTTCGTATGAGCAGGGAGAAATGTTGCTAGGTTTTAACAAAACTTTCCCACTTTTACTTTAGTCAAATGAAATGAAGTTTTGAGTCTAATAAAACTTTTTAATTGGTTGCAATGTGCTCGAATAATTGAATATTTACTTTGGATTAAGCAAGTTAGATCAGTTATGAAAATTACATTGAAATTATTAAAAAAATATGTTTCAACATAATCTTTTCTGCCTGCTTTGTTTCTTAGTTAGTTGCAAGATCCGACTGGATTATTCTTCAGATTTATTATAATAATTTAATTTTATGATTTCAAAGATTAAAAAACACAAAATTAAGTTTTTAAAAATTATTCTTTAACCAAAAGCTGTTATTACTTTTTGGATATTTTTTTAAATATGTTTTTTACTTAACGACTAGTAAAATCAAATTCCTTTAATATCTAGTATACATTTGACTTAATACGCTTCCGGACGGTATAAACACGAATACCTAGCATTTGGGTAAACTATAAAAATGTGGCAACTTTATGCAAACCATAGACAATTGACTGTTTTATTTTTTCTGACTATGAGATTCAAGAATACAGCCAACAACAATATATTTGTGATACAATTAAATAAATTCAGTGTTTTGGATTAAGAAGTTAAATTTAATTTATTGTACCTTTGTATATGTATATTTAGTTTATTTAGTTATAATATAGTTTGTTATAAAATTATTAGTTGTCACTACCAGGTGACATTAACATTTATACGTCAACGTCATCTGTCATTTTAATTTAACATTTGTCAACTTTTGAAGTTCCTTCCTGCAACCAAAGCCCCAAACCTAAGCATTAAGCATGGAGGAATTAAATCTATGATCCTGAACTCCAAAGAATGAAAAGAATCTATTATTTATGATTTAAGATTATCCCTATGTTGGTATATTACATTACATTACATTTATTTTCACTGTTTTACTCTTTGATTGGCTAACGGACCTTAAGAGAATTTAAGCTCTACCATGAAGGAAATAACTACTTTAATTAACTATAATACTAACATATAATGCGCACAGGACAAAATCTTAGTAAGGCTATGAAAAAAATAAAATAAGGAGAGAATACAACACACTACTCCTCTCGCGTCATAATAGTCATCTTTGCTGTGGTTAGATGAGGGAAGTTCTCTTAGTTCCTTTGGTATAGGTCGGCAAACGAACTAACGCATCACCACCTGATGGAAAACTATAGGTGCTGTCCATGGTCAGTGAGTGCAACACCAAACGACATTTACGGGTTATTTGTGTGGCCTTGGTATTACTCTGATTATCCTGTAGAATTTGTGCTAAAGCGTTTTCTTCCTCCATCACCCTCTGTCGAAGCTGTTACATACCTTATATGTCGGATTACACAGTGCCAATAAAGGCCACTGACAGTCTGACACCCCGAGCGAAAATATCGTGGCGCCCACTTGAGGGAAGCAATATCAAGTGTTACATTTTTTTTCACATTCACAGAACGTAGAGCACAGTTCTGAGGTTGTTTGCACTAGAAGAGGCAAGAGACTCCAACTTCAGACCTTGGCGCCCCCATAATTGGTCCCCCTGTGCCATCGCCCCATCACGCCCCACGCATGCACAATCTATATATTACTTTTTATAAGATAGGTATACTTCTTTTTCCTTTTGATCTACTTACATTTTATACATAGACACAAAAATGCTGTTCTGTGTGATCTAAGTCTCCTTCAAGCGTTACATAATGGCGCGTGACCTAAGTTATAGTTCAGATAATGTTTAAATATAAGTATCAAGCAATATATATTAATTGAATATTTTGGCTTTTTGAATGGCTAATACACACCAGTTGGTAAGTTAAAGAAGGATAAGATAAGGTTAAGTGTGGGAGAGCCATGCTTCGGCACGAATGGGTCGGCTCGACCTGAGTGATACCACGGCCTTACAGAAAACCGGCGTGAAATAACCACTGCGTTGTGTTTCGCCGTGTGAGTGAGGTTACCGGAGGCCCAATCCTTTCCCTTCCCCAATCCCTAAATCTTCAAATCCCTAATCCCTAAAAGGTCGGCAACGCACTCGTAACTCCTCCGTTGCGAGTGTCCATGGGCGGCGCTGATTGCTTACCATCAGGTAATCCGTCTGCTTGTTTGCCGACCTATTACATAAAAAAAAAGTAATGTCCAAAATTAAAGCAATTGTTTAGAAAGTATTAAGTAAGAAGTTATGACTATCTTGCCCTGTCAGGAAAATAAATATATGGAAACCATCTAAATGTAGGCAACAATTTACATCGTCTGCCGGAATATAAGATACAATATAGAACACATTTGTCTCTCATAGATCTGCCCTCCTGCATATCATGGGTTAAAAACTGTGAGCAGTGCAGCTTTACTCGGGCAAGAATACCAAATGTTCATCAACAGATGCAAAAATGCTAAGACCCAGTCCATTTATATTAAAATTTATTTACATTAATCGTCTTTTTATTGTTACTAAGAATAAAGACAGCAATGACGACTTAGCATTCCTAATGAAGCCATTTTCTTGAAACTAATGTACCGTAAGCCAAAACATATAGAAATTTAGCACTAGTACTAGCTCCCATCCTCCTCGTCCGCGTTACCCAGTTGAACCACAGGCTATCTATGCGTTATTCCAGACCCATGTTTGTGCCAACTTTCACCAAAATGTATTCAGCACTTTTTTCGTGGACACGTTGCAAACAGCCAGCAACATCTATCCATACTTATTACTTTCGCATTTATAATTATAAGTAGGATATATCTGCATAGTCTGCAGTGAGCAATTTCAATTAGTAGTATGAGTAACCACTGAAGAAATAAAAATAAATGAAACCACAATATGGCAGTATTAGTAATGTTTTATTTTGTATTTTTTCCCATAATATCTAACTTACAGACCACAGGTCTTACAAAATACAACTTACAATCGAACTTAGTCAATGTTACGAACGAACTTACTAAAAGATGAACAAGCAAGTTTACGTTTAATTAAAATGCACATTTTTCTGAACAATTTTCTTTAAACACAAACTAATTATCACAAAATAGTAAACTAGGCCTTCTAAAACGAAGGTTCGTTTTAATTAATGGTTCTTAAGGAGTAACCTCTCGCTTCCGGTCGTGGTGTTGGCCAGGGTCGGAAGCGGGAGTGCGTGGGACATCGTCAACTCATTATAAGGAGGTCGCGAAAGGGTATTAAGAAGGCCACAATGCTTTCCCTTTTTGCGCCAGGCGCAGAAGGGAGCTTGAATTAGGTATGGCTCAAACAGGCAAAACAAGACACCTAGATCTCAAGAATCTTTATCTCAAAAGGCACAAAGGTGTGGGCGACTCTCAATTATTGGGACATGCCGAGGTAAGACAAGAAATTAAAAAAATCTTACCCCGGCAAGAACACCGTGTGGTAACACATATGGTAAAATACAATACAGAACGCTCCACCCTTCCCAAAGGTGGAGGTAATTACATCTACACAAGATACAAACAATAGATGAATGGTAAATAATTTTTTAAACATAGATTTTGTTTTTTACATTTTTCTCGTAATAATATCAACTTAGGTATAGCCAATAAATCATATAAACGATTTAAAATACTAAGAAGTAAGTACCAGGTAAACATAAATTGAAATGGGTGTCCATTCCTAAAATGCATTTGTCAGATGGAGTCAAACATTAGTGACTAGACAACTTCTCTCACACACACACACACACGTGAGCAGTCCTGCACTATGTGTCTGCCGGCGGGCGGCGGCGGAATCATTTCAAGTAGAAACTCATCGTCATCTTGTTCCAAGTCGGGCGAGGCTCGCACTCATTTCACTAGGCCGGGACTCTTAGGGTAGTCACACGGCAGGAATATGTGCATTAGCTTCTCTATCTCGCCGCGACACAGCGGACAGCGGTTGCATCTGCAAAGAGGGAACCGAAGGTTAGTTATGCACGACAACAATGAAGTTTACTTATGTCAGTAAAAGATTCATAAAAGTATCTTAAGTATTTTTCGTAAAGTTCTAATACCAATTACTTTCTATTTTCAAAATTTGTTACATACTGGTTATTCACAAATTTGTGATAGGCCTTAGCTATTTCTTATTTTAAATTGTGTATGATATTTACCTGGGCGCGCAATTCTCGCAGCAGACAACGTGTCGGCAGGGCAGGAAGAGTGTGTCGATGGGCTCGTCCATACACACGCGACACGCCAGCGCCTCCGCGCGACATCCGCCGCTGTGTGAACGAGACCGGGACTCCTGGGGAGACAAAAACATTGTTAGTACATCATATAAGTTAAAAGGATGTAACTAGTAGCTAGTTCACTATTTGATCGTGTAGAATGAAGTGAATACTTATTATTGAAGTGGAAGGAGGTAGGTAACAATCTGAGGTGTTAGCCTAGACTAGAGTTAATGCTCATGTTAAACTGTTTGTGTGATCCACAAATTGTACTTCCGGATCTGACTGTTATAGATGTGTATGTGAAATTGTATGTTGTTGTATAAAATATATAGTGTTAAATTGTTAATATACCTTTTGTTCCGAGCCCGAGGCAGTGCGGCGTCGTGCGCGCGAGTCGTGCGTGGCGGCGGCGGGTTGCTGCGCATGCGCGGCGCGGCGCGCGCGGTCGTACACCTCGCGGCACGTGCGTCGGATGTCAAACACGTAGCGCCGCCCCAGTGTCGTCGAGTCGTTGAAGATCGACGCTATTGTGCCCTGGAATAGAGTTATTTAACAGATTAATACTTAATTCAAGAAAAAATAAAGTCTATTTCCTTAAGACAACTGCAACTGGCTTCAAGAAAAAGACAGTTAGGTACTTAAAATTTCAAACTTCTGTTAGAGATTTTTAACTTAATCTAGCAAAAGGACAAGGTAGAAAATCAATTAAGGTTATTCGATAATACACGGTGCTAATATCTAGGCATACATATAAGTAGTGTCACAGTGATTTTCCTGCTATTAAGCTGACCTCTCAGTTCACATATCATTGTCATACTAAATACAACTAAGTATTAATATGTACTTGTCATAAATTAATTGTTACTTAAAGAAAATTTTCTAACCACCTTATTAATCACCCTAGATGACATATTGTCATAGATTTTAATAATTTTTAACTCCCTACAATAATAAAATCTCTTTGCCAATCTCTTACAATATATTTATCTTTGCCTTGCCTTGGACCGAGAAACATTATAATATTAGTAGACTAGACTTTATAAGGATGTCCTACTCGTATTGCGCAACCCGTAAGGTGTCCCATTCAACTGTCTATTGCTGTGGGAACGATCTGACAGTTTGTTCTACGCCACCTACATTTATAGTTGGCCATCTAGGATAATAATATTACATATTTTTTTACAATAGTTTCAAATCATTTTAATTATAGTGGTAACTTTCTCACGGTTTATACTTAATTGTTTTCATGTTGGTAGTTGGTAGGTATCTACTAATTTGGAGTTTTTAAGACTCATTTTAAGATTTTATTTCAATTTACATATACATAAAAGGAATACAATGGAGGTTAATCCCACAGACAATTTCTTAAGTCGAACTTTTAGATGATGTTGGGAGCCATTGTATTGTTTACCACAGTTTTTAATACGTTCAAGATATCTCCTAAATATTATGAGTTACACAAAGAGAAGTACATTGCTCCACAATCACCTACAAATGATTATTTTTCCGAAGCCACTTCATTGGGTGCGAAGTCCAATGTGGCAACAGTAGTCGATTGTTTTGACAACCGAGTTGAGGTCGCCGGCGACGGCTCGGCCGGGAACATTGAGTGGTACAAAGTCCAGACGTGTTTTGGTCACTTCTATTAGTGGACTCATTTAATTTTATTGTTCATAGGTAACATTATCAACATTCGATTTGATATGGGAACATTTTAAAGTTCTAGAATCTAGATAGAATGAAATTTTATGGCATTGATGTTGTCCTAAAATCGAATCCTACTATCCTACTATAATATAAATGTGAAAGCTGGGAGAATATACTTGTGGATGTAGGTATGTTTGTTACTCTTACACGCAGAAACGCCTGGACCGATTTTGTTGAAGTTTGAATTATGTAGATAGGTGATACCCTGGATTAACACAGGCTGGTTTTTATCAACAAACCACGGGCGAAGCAGCGGGTGGAAACTAGTATTAAATACTGTTTACTTGTTGTCATATAAGTGTCCAAGGTTTATAGGAGAGAGGCTGAATACGTGACTTAGAGCATGAACGAATAAAGTAGGGTAACTTCGTTGCATTTCATGCAGTCTATAGCTTTGTCAGTCACGATTTTAGTTTAATTAATTTAATAAAAAGCGAAATAAGATTGTTAATGTACTTTTACATTAGCTATTAGACCTTTCATAAGTATAGAGTAGCATATATCTTATTGTAAAGGTATTAGGGACTGCTTTCCTACTTCATTTGAGAAAGCAAACTACACCTGTCTATCCTTCCTTTATTGACTTTCAACCTTATCCCTAGCATCTTATAATTGAAAATAAAAAATATATTCACCTTCAGATCTCTAGTGAACTGCTCAGTGACGGCAGTTCGGACAGTCTCGCAGTAATAGAAGGCGTGTTTCTCAGTAACTGCGCGGTATAGGGCCGCGGCCTGCCCAGACGTAGCCATCTTGATATGAAGAGTTGCTTCGTTGCCTTTATCCGTGACGAACGACATTTGGAAGTTGCGACGGAACGGCTGAGCGCGGTGGATGGCGGTGTATGCAATGCTGGAATGAGAGAAGGGTTTCATAAGTAATACATATTATAAAGCTATAGAGTTTTTTTGTTTGAACGCGGTAATCGCCGGCATTATTGGTTCGAATTGAACAATATTTTTTTGTTCGTTAGTACATTTATCGAGGAAGGCTTTAGGCTATCAAACGTCACGATATGTGGGAGTCGAGCAGCAGGTGAAACTGCGGGACAGTAGCTAGTGTCATGTGTATATTCATTAAATACTTGCAAAATCATAGTGATTTATTAGATGAGTTCGGTATTACCTAGTTGATTACTCTGAGAAGAAACATTGAAAAAAATACTCAAAGAGTTTTTGTTACGACTTTCTTTTACGGTCAGACAGAGAGAGAAGGTCTTCAAAACAATTGACAGCTATACTTTTAAAAAGGAAAAAGGAAGCTACAACTGCCTAATAAATATTTTCTTTACACCCCCAAACAACATCCTTTAGTTCCCCTAATTAACTTAATGTCCTAAAGATATCTACGTGTTGTTACCAACTACCAAATTCTTTAACAAATACAAAAGATAAGCTTGATAAGCTAAAACAAAGAAATTCATACGCGAACCGAGAAATTTCTTCGAAAACAAATGTCAATGTGTGGAATATAGTGAGTGTTATCATTGTTAAACATAATTTCAGTTATCGGTACAGCGACATCTTTGATAGAGAACAAAGCGACGACAATATTAAGTAGGTAGATATGTATGTACTTAAAATTTGTAAATTAATTACTTATATTTATCTTGTAAATAACTGGGTAATTAAGTGGAAACAATGCTATCGGGGTGTGGCCGCTAAACGAAATGGGTCAAAAGATCAACTTTAATCAAGTGACGCAGGTACCTACTATCTATTTAAAGGTAAGTTTTGTGATATTGTGCAATAAAATTTTCTTCTACAAACTTTCTGCAAATGTCTTTCAATTCTGCCAACAGTTCATTTAAATTGCAAAATAAACTATGGCCTATTAGTTACCTACTTAGTTCGCAAATAAGAAAATTTTATTCAGCTGTTTTAGGTAGGTAAATTGACAAAATTTTTGTGTCAATTTATTTGTTGATAGAACTGCGCAGTTGACGAAAATCCCCCGTCCTAATGGACACGTTTAACATAATTATTTTGCTAAAGATGCTAGATGTGATGGAATGCTAGTTTTGCATATAGGTAAATATCTACCCACTGCATTATACAACTCAAGTAAATATAGAATTCTGCGCAAAACTTAAAAAAAATACATTTGCAACTAATCGTAAGCGATCAATACCGTGCAATATAACAATATGCTCGTAATAAAGTCGTTTCTGGAAAAGAAACTGCGAACAGAATGTGTTTGAGTATTTCATTGAGTAAATATTTTATTTTTCAATATTCTTCGAGTTATTCAGGTTCGTGATGTCATTTTAATGAATTCAAGTGCTGTTAGCCAAACCGAAAACAGAAGCGAATGTACTCATTGTCTTGACCCGCGCGCTACTGACTAACTCATACGAATAATAAATAGAGTCGAAACTCGACTATTTATTATTATTTAGCTTTGTAATAACATTTATTAGACACTACAAGAGCCGGTAGCAAAATATCCAAGGACGGACGACACGCACCTCCATCTGTACAGTCTTATTCTACACAAACCACATTATTGTTTTCAAAATGAACAAAACGTTTCGAAGTGACTTTCACCTTTCCAAACACTTTGTTTTCTTATTATGGAATTGTTAATTAGTTGCGATTGAATAGGTATGCTGGGGTCTAGCTATTGAAATAGTATTTGAGTTGACGCTTACCTTTGTTTTTCGACTCCAATTTCCTGTTCTCCATTGCAAGCTGGTCTGTACACGACGATGCCGTGTGGTCCAACTCCCACGCAGGTACTGAGCCTGCAACCGCAGCCTCCTCCACTTTGTCCCGACGTCAGGCATCCAACGGTCGCGCCCCCGTCAATCTCCTGCTCATCCCTCGCTCTGGGCTCTTCTGCCTGTTGCCTATGGTACAGCAGGTGGCTGTACAAGTTGTGAGCGTTGTTGTTGATCGTGACGGGCTTGCAGAAAAACAATTCCTCTCCAAACGACTCCAACTCTGATATTTCTTTCAATAATCTGTACTCCGCCCGAGAAGCTCTCATTCCAGCTATTTGGCAGTGGTATTCTATGATCTTGTCGACGTGATCCTCTGGTCGCTCGCCTTGGGGGCCAATTTTATCACACTCTTCGTATATGTGAGTTGGTGGCAGTTCCCGATCACAGTCTCCTGTCTCAGCCTGAGCTATGTACGCGATGATTTTCCGAGCCACTTCTAAATCTGCTACGACAAGTCTCCCTTCAATGAGGTCGAGTTTGGCGTGTAGGTAGAACTGGTGACGGGTAGCTTCGTTGATCAGGAGATGTGGGGGCACCCAGAATTTGACTCGGAGATCGAGACGACCTCCGGGGATGCGGTGTGGGTCGAGTGGGTTCCTCAAGTTGAGCCATCTGCCGGGGCCAGATCCTGGAGATACGCGGAGGCCGAAGTAGTCCGCTTCGACGCCGATCTCCAGTTTCTCGCAAACCTGAAACAAATTAAGTATACGATTAACAAAACAATCGACAGATAACTTTCGACGAAATGCAGTTTATAAGACAATAAAGCTGCTAGTACTTGGTTATTAATACGTGATTGATACCTAGATAATAAACTTTCTAAAACAGGATCCACTTCATTAATGAAGTGACCAAGTTTCATAATCCAAAATGTTAGTATTTGGCAAATAATTACACGGTATGAATTGACCAGACCAGTACCTAAGTAGACTTCTAAGCGATTTGGCAATGTTACGAGGTGAAAGTTAGAAGTTATAAACCTATTATTAGGAGCTATTTATCAATGTTAAACTTGTCTGGGCGTTTGCTGGAGGCCCCATATGTAAAGGGTATTACGTATACTATTTCAGGCACCTCCACAGAATCCAGTCCTTCCAGCCGAAATCAATTTTAGGCGTCAGTATTGTGGCTTATTAGTGCGTTTTCATACCAATAAATGAAGTCTTATTTACTCATAAAACTTTACAATTTTATGTAACTTTGCATATCCGTTGCTTATTTGTGTAGGGGACTGTCGAGTACAAGTATTCATTTCCATATTTCTTTGTTCGGTATGCAGGAGTTAACTACGCATTTACCGTCAACAACAGCGAATACTTAATGGTCGTGTGACTGTTTACTTATTAATAATTATTGCCGGCGCACCGCTGCGAGTACTTATGCACTTTACCTACATGATATAGGTACTGTTTTCGTAATAACATTAATTACCCCGAAGTACCTACACTCTAGTGAAATGTTTTGGTTGTCGATGGCGCCGTATCGCGATGTTTGTGTCGAGGTACAAACATTGGTTTGAACAAATAATGATAAAGTGCATTAAAATGCATATTATTGTGTTCACATACTGATAACGCCACAGCTGCCATGAAACTCAAACCAGTATAAATTCGAAGCAAAATAGATGTGGGAAAATATATTCCATAATTAGTAACAAATTGTTGCTAATACGATGATAAACATTGCGTAGTAACTACACATTATTATTTGTAATTTACCACACGCGGGCTCGTTGGCTGATAACGAACATATCAATCATTATGTTCGCTCACAGAAAGCACGTTTTCAAAAATCTGTTCTACTGCGTAACATTCTTATATCGATGGACCTTGAAGCATAACCAACATCGATTCTCCATACCACATACCTAATACGGGGCCTAGAAATATCATAAACACATTGGCATAACAAACGCCATTTTATTTATCACTTCCTACATATTTCTAACATGGAATACGAAAACAACATTGAGTACTGATAGTACTTGGATATACCTAGTTCACCAGTTGTTTTTAAATGGGCTGCTCAGATAGGTAGCGCCTTATTGAGTGTTTGCAATGTAATCTGACCGTGTAACGTGAGTGTCAGAAGTCCTATTTACACCTGAAGTTCCGTAGGGCTATCAGTCAAAACCTGCGTCAATATTATTTAAATTGAGACTCCGCTTTGCACTAGAATGGGTCTATTATTATTTTGGACGAATTGAGTACATACAGGTGTGGTATTTTATTAACCTCGTTTTCGTACTCACACTGATAAGATTGTTTATCATTGAGATCGTTTTAATTAAGTACATCAATTTGTTGTTTTGCATTGTGTACTGAAGTTACTCGGCATGATTAGTGAGATGATATAATCGACACTACTTATTACCTAGTACGTATTATATTTCATTTACGTGGCTAAAGTCCAATTCCCCAATCAAGATGGTTTCACGAACCCGTGCATCCTTGTCTGCACTAAATCAATTGCAAACTACACTAAAGTAATTGTATCTTGCCATTCTCATTGACACCTTATCTCCGGCATCACGTTGCAAACTCCTGCGCAGCTTGTAGTAAATATTTGTCATGCGATCTCATGTTTACGTATCAAAGAATCATCATGTGAATTAGTTCCTCACATTCTTTTGTGGACATACAATAACATCGTTGAGGCAGACCAGCTTATTAACGTGAGCTGAGCCGCCATTTTTGTAGGTTATAATTATCTTTTCGCAAAGGGCAGTGACCTGTTCGACGTATTCTGAAACTCGATATCAGCATCGAAAAACACAATCTCATTTATCTCAATTTGTGTTGTTTCAATCGTCCTGTATTCATTCCCATATCATCATTGAATTCGCTGTCAATGCCTTTGTTTCATTGAAATCAGCAGCACAAATACTCTCAGTGCATAACATCAATATCCTTGGTACTTACATTGAGGTATTTGTCCGGTGCAGTGTAATTAAGGCAATATGGGATCTAATTATGTGTCCTTTACCTATCATCACCGCATCACGCTTGCATCTCGTGTTGATAACGTCACTCCGTATGGCGTTTTGTTATTTAAATAGGTATTATTGAAACACGATGTTAGCTCGTGGTGATCAGGATCAATCATGACGGAGAACATGAACAGTGCGAAATTACGCCGTTAATATTTTGGACATTGCGCATTGCACACAATTAAACAAAGTAAAAAACGAAAACAAATTTAAAGGAATAGTATCTTAAATATAAGTCATCTGGTACCTCAAGCGTTTATCATGGAAATATTTCCTCAGCTATTATTGTAGTGTATCCGGCCAGCATTAAAGTTGTAGGCAATAAATTCCCCTTTCCCTTTTTCATTTCCTAATAGAAGGTACCGACATGTTCCCCAGCCTACTCTCAATTAAAACTACCGCTGCTTACAAGGGCCGTAAAAAAGCAATTTGCGTAATGCCTGATACCGTTGGGAAAACACACGTGTAGGGCATTTCGCAGAAATACTGGGCAAATTACCCTGGAAGTAATAGCTTTGTCTGATCGCCACCATGTGGGTAACTACCTGTATAGTTAAATTCAATTCCTTAGTCATGAACTTAAGGAATCGCTAATTGTCTTATAAGACTTCCGTTTTATTTTCGTTGGAAACAGTTTCGTCTTTTTTTCTCATTGTCATTTGGTCTTCGAATTAACTTCACAATGTTTCTGATCCTTTCTGGTTACTGTTACGAAACTTACGAAGTTATAATTCCGTAATATAGATACAACAGTTCCTCTGGTTCTTTAGCTGTATTTTACAGTGAGCAGCCGTATGTAAGGGCAGGTAGCAAACTCTCTCCATCAACAGCCAAATAACATTTACAAAAAGTGCACATTTCTTTTCACTCTTTCAACCGTGATGCCTGTATCAAGTTTCTGTTCCTACGCTGAACATCTGCTCAAGATGGCAACTTCCTCGTCCGTCCTGTTAGGATATATTTATTTTGGCAACAAGTTCACATACATGGCTAAACTCCAATTTTGTTCAGAATATTGACCTTTCAAATTGATACCAGATTCAGTTGGCATACTTTCACATTGTGTTTGCGATTTTTGGAGGTTACAAAGCCTGACAAACAAAAGACAGTTAAACATTTATCATGAACAAAACATTTGCTGACTTCCGACTACAAACTAAATTATCATTTAGGGCATAAATATTTTTGTTCAATCAAAATTACAGTTCATTAACCTCGAGCAGTGATAGCAGCCTTTCTTTCCTGCATTCGTATTCAAAAACCTACTCTACGTACTAATGGAGTGAGTCCAATTCTCTTGTTATTATAATCAGAACATTTATAAATAAATATTTGATAAAAACTATGGAGCAGTTATGGTTTGTATTTCCGTTTTGCATCCATTGTGTAAGGCAGATCTCCAAGTGAAAATCTTTTCAGTAACCATTTCATTCACAATTGTCTTAGCTCGATAATGCGACTTATGCTGTAGGGGTTAGCGTGTTGATGATTAACGAGAAACCATTCGTATCCATGCCGTGGGCTACCGTATGCTACACTATATAATTATTTCACGAATTAGAACATAAAGAACTCCTATCATACAGTACAACGAGTACATTTCTTTACAGCTATGTAATTTTATTATTGAACGTGTGGGATGTGGGATGCTTGAACTTGTAGCAGCTCTCCTGGTTCTTGCGAGACCCGATTGTATATTATATAGTGTGTTTTCTTTAACAGATAACGGAAAAACAAGTAGCTGATCTAAAAACGACGTTTTATTTTTCTCAGTCACCAGCTATCTAGGACGAGATATCAATATTATCAACCAGTAACCTCACTTTAGTTATCTGAGCATTACGGATTTCCATGAACACAGTATATTTGGCAGGACACGAATACTTATGTTCGGTCGACCAGTCGATCGACTAGTCGAGATCTGAAACGAAAGTTTGGCCACGCAGCTTGATTTGTTGGCTGATCGATCGACGGTTGCGTGCACGCAGTCCGCGCGTGATTATTGTTGAGACGGCACTGATGCTAGAGTGAGACAGCAAGAAAACATCTGGGTTGTTCGTTTACTGATTCAATGTTTTTGCTCTTCTATTTTTGTTTCGAATACAGTGCAGTGCCAAGAGAAAAAGGATTTTTATTTTGCACTTCATTTTTATTAGGTTGCGTTCCAACTGACCTATTATTGGCTTTTGTTAGAGTTTAAATAAACAAAATACCTTATATGCTTTGTCTGCTTCAAATATTTTAGAAGCCAGGCGTTATACTAATGGGTCTTTGTTACCTGCAGGCCGGAATAAGCGGTCCTTGGAAATGTAGTAACGACAAAAACCAGGAACACTATGTTAGTGTTTCACGGCACCTGGTCAAACTAGTTAGTTTCCTGCGCTATTTGACTGGTTGTATGGTGCAACATTAACTTCCTTATGTATTTGAATATACCTACGTAGTTATTTTAATATCTATTGTACAATCCGATTTGGGCTTCCATTCGTTTCCATTATGAACTTGATTATTTACAGCCAAGGTTATTAAGACTTGCGGACCTTTAATAAAGTAATGGTCACCTCTATAAAAACAAAGTCATTCAACCCATGTGTGATGTGATTAACCCTCTTAATTGCTCTGGCGATACGTAATGCCCAAATAGACATTGTTATTATGTAAGCTGGTAGCTCTCATATCACTAGTCCAGTACACTCTATC